GGCTTAAAACTGCCAGAAGAACAGCCATTTCTTTTTGATAGTATATTCTTTATTATTACTCTGAATAACTGTCCAAATGTAGACACGTGGTACCACAATAAAATCTATTTCAACTATCAAAAATATCACCATAATCGACAGGCTTTAGTGTCAACCTCTAATATCCCAGAGCACAAGTTTCTTTGCTTTATACAGATGTTCAACAACCTTGCAAACAGAAATTCATCACTGAAGAGGCAGAGAGAACATTTGTTTCTCCGTCAGTAGCCTCAAAAGATACATACAGTACAGCCCCAGGATGTATTCCAATTAGAGCAACAGGTGCAACGCTCATTTATTCTCCACCGGAAAAAAAACGCTCTTGTTGTTATTGCTTTTCCACCTGCATGTACAGCCCACAGCTGAATTTTACAAGTTTAAGCACGGTGTATGGAGGCTGTTAAAAGTCATCCTGGGGACTGTAGGAGATCACTAATTGCAGTAGGAACGGATGAGGCATGTAGATATAAAGTGTGTGCAAAAAAGACAATTACCACAATTGATCAAAAATAACTACTGTATTGCAACATTACAAATTGACAATTCCTGTTGGTTTCACAGTAGAAGAGAAAGGATTGTACTTTTAATATCTGGCCTGATACAGAACAACCACCCTGAGGTAAGGCACTTCAAATCACCAAATCCCAATGGGTGCCTACAGAAATAAAATGTCTGTTTAGTAAGAGGAGGAGTAAACTGGTCATGTACAATAACAAATTGATTAAGGTTGCTCCATCTTTTCCCTCAGATGTAACGTAACTACTTCTGAAATACTGGTGTGAAAAGAATTTTGTGTATCATATATTCACCAAAATAGACAGGAAATCCTGATTAAAAACACCCTAACAGATAAAAATAAAATGTAAGATAAAAATGTGGAAGGTGTGAAGCTCAAAAGATTTCCAGTGCCTCTAAATAAAACATTTCATCTCACACGTTATCAGCGTGTGACAGTTTAATTCCAAAATTAGATATCCAGAGCATCACCTCAGAGAGATCTACAATCACACAATGATGAAAAACACTACCTTAAATGTGGAACTGTAACTTTTTATTTGATATAATTACACCTTTAAAAATGGATCCTCTAGATTTTAAAAAAGTGAATAAATGTGCAGGCATAGATGTCTATCAACGTTCATCTCACCGGCTGATTGTGAGGCTTTCCTGTGCGTGAGGCCCTGGTGTTTGTTTGGCCTGCATGTCCCAGCTCGCATAACCTGTTGTCTATTCTCTTAGCTTCGCATGGGTCACCAAAGCCACTGTACATACACACTTCCAGGAAAAGAGGCTCGCCGTAACATCAAGAGATGATCATAGCAACACTGACCTGGGCCGCCACTTGACAACACACCAGAGAAATGCTGACGTCACTCTGCTGCAGTTTTTCCAGGGTCTGCTTGTCCGGACTTTGCTCAGTAGTAATCAGGAATGTGATCAGGTCAACCTTTGCGTTGACCTGATCAGTCATAGTAACCACATAATGGGAGGGAAACCAGGGAAAGGGTACATCCTGTGAGGAACACTGGAATTAAGGGATTTTTTTGGTTATGGCATTTTCCTCCCAAATGGATTCTGTCATGATTTAGTATGTGTTAGAAAGGTGAAACTGAGACCTGAACCCAGCAATTACCCTCATGTTTACAGCCTGACCCGACTGAGCCTGACTGGTCCTGCCAAAAATAAGACCCAAGACCTGATTGTAGTCGTCTCTTTTAAAAAAAGATAGATATACACTTGCTTTTAAAAAAACAAAAGCTTTGTCACAAAAAAACACCACAAAGCACAAGTAACTTAATATAGCAAATTTTTTTCTTGTATGTTTAGTGACATACACACGACATAAATTGCAGCCAACTAGAAGCACATGACACTACAACATCTCCAATAAATCACACAGACCCAGGGTGTCCTAAAACACGGCGACTGCGAAAACCACACCGTCAGTCACCAGCACCTCTTCTCAAACTTTCCCTGAGACAAACAACTTGGCCTCGACTTGTTGTGTAATTGTGCCGTCTCTGCTGCTGGTGCCAACAGCATAATTCAGTATAGTGGTGAGACAGTAACACAACAAAGTCCTTCCCAAAGGAAACTAACAGCGTCATTTTTTTTAACAACCCGAGCCCTTGGTTCATTAGCTTTGGTCAAACCAGTGTTATTAGAGCTATTTGAATCTACATAAAGACGTCTAGTTGCTCTTCCTGTAATTACAATAGGCTGAGTCAACTGCCTGCAACCAAATGGGTCTTCCTAGAGGGCAATTTGGTCTCGCTGGTAAAAGCCAAACACTCACTTTATTTTGACCACATCAATGTCAGGTAGAGCAGCACTGTGGCGGACATATGGGCGCACACACACACACCTGCATTTGTGCACAAACGCACACATTTGTGCTCACAAATGTATAAATACATTCAGTCGTAAACAGCAGCTCAGCCCTCGCCAGACTTAACACCAGCTAATTGTTAATGTATGGCTCCTTTCATTCCACACTCACACACACCACACACACACAACACACAACACACAACACAGACACGCTTACATACAGAGTGCAACAAAGCGTGCTAGTTCGCTGGCCCCGGCCGTCTACAGCTGTGACGTTTTACATGTGGTGCATTGTTGATACAAGGAGTAACACAAGTGGAAAATTGAAGCTGGTGGGGCCAGACTGCTGACTTCCTGATAGGAAGAGAGTGGAGGTTGACCCATATATATAGTATATATATTTTAAGTAGTCACCAGGCTCTAACACTACAGGAAATACACACAAAGGACCTGTGTAGCTGTGTGCATAAAGTAATGTGGATACAGTTCATGGGTTACTCAATGAGATCCTTTAATATCAACATGGCTCTCCTGACAGAAAACTACATCATACTGATGTCACTGTGCAAGCTACACAGCCTCATTTAGAGTTATGACTCACCAGTGAAAAAAAGTCTAATTTTAATCCCTAGAAGCTATGGGAAGTTGGTATGAATCACACAATAAATGCTGAAAAATGGGAACTAACCAAGTTGGCTTTCATTTTAGACCTACCAACAAACAACATGAACTCCTTTAAGATGAATGTAGACCTAACAGCAGAAGATTATTTATATATAAGCTGTGTGGCATGTGGTAAAATAAGGTGGTCTACTTTTAAAACAAAAGAGAAGAGCAGCAAAACCTGGCTAATCTGATTTTCTCAAGATTTTTTTTTAACCGTGTATAACAGATAAAACTATTTTTAGTCTGTAAATCAAGTATATATAATTGCCTGCAAAGTATTTTCTGCATGATGAGCTCTGTGGTCAAGATCAAAAAAGGATGCTTCATGGGTCATAGCTCAGTACTGCTCAGCTCTCAAGTACTTTGGGCCTATGCTACACATAAGCACATTGAAAATAAAAATAATACACCAGCAAAAACTTTTTTCAGCATTTTATTTCCACAAAGTATTAGACGCTGTATTTGCACATCCATGTGGCGACAGAGCCTTTCACAAAAAAATCCCACTGTGTAAAAAGTTGCTTGTATTTTAAGTTTTCTCACAATTTTTTGGGGATATGAAAGGTTATTTGAGGCAGCAGAGAAATCTAGAAGTCATATTTCTAATTATGACGTTGTGTTGTGGTGTGGCATTCCCCTCTTAAACATCCATTATGGGAACTGGATCTTTGCCTGCCCAAGATTACCACACAACACTCCTGACTTAACTGAGTTTCAAAGCACCTAAATGCACAATGGAGGAGAAATAATAACCTATGGAAGGAAAATCATAATAATTTAAAAGTTTCTGAAAAATGTGTGGAATTTGAAAAAGCAGAATCTGAGATTTCTGAGCTGAAATCTATTTAAATTCATAGAGTAGATTAGCTTTTAACTACGTTGGTAAAACATTCCAAGAATCAAACACATTTACTCACAAATGCAAATGTTTGAATAAAAGGGACATAACATGTTTCTCACACCAACAATGAAATGAGCCTGTTATCCAGGAAAGTTTAACTACCTCAGCCACCCACCACTATATCACCAAACTGATCAAATGCAATAGCAGTCAAGTTCAGGATCCAATCATGCAGTCACTTTCCACCATTCACTGCAGACTGTTTTGTTGTGATAAATGGAAAAGTGTGTTGGCTGAGACCTCCCACTTAGAATAATCAAAATGCAAAAAAAACACCAAATCGTGTTGCTTTTTCTGTCATAATGTGAGCAGCTAGATAAGCTATATATCCAACTGTATCTGCTCTGTGCTACATCCTACACAGACTTGTAATCTTCTCTTCTCTTATCAAGTTTACTAGTTTCACACATTTTCTCTTAGAGAACCATTCTGCTGTGCATTTCCTGCAAGATAATGTAAATTCCTTATAGTTATCTCTTCTAACTCACACACCTCGTTTTTCTTCTTCTGATTAGGGGCCACAGGACTAGTGCGGGTGCATTGCTATCAAAGATTGTATAGTTCTTATTCACTTCTTCCTTTTTCCCCACTAAACTGAGGTCGTTTTATAATGAGGCATTAATTAAATCTCAAACACAAAGCTACTGCACTCAGGGTCAGTGCACTCTGGCCTGACCCTGACTCCTTACCACTGATCCGGGAAATTAAAGCTAACTCTACAGTTGCCCTCGTTGACTGTAAATCGCTCAGCACAGAAGCTGAGCGATTTACGTTTAAAGTTAAATGTAAATGGAATAAAGTTTATAAAACAGTAGTTCAACTTCCCTTGATTTATTACAGTTGAAAACAAAGTGGTGCTGAGCAGTACGGACCCTCTGCGTTTGTTGAAACAACAACAAGCGACTCGGATGGATCCACTCTAGCGCCATAATTTTGTCACACTTTCCCTGGAGTTTGTTAGCGTGCTAACCAGCTAGCCGCCAAAGCTACAGGCGCTGTTGTTTTCTTTTTGAGGAACATGAAAAAAGAAAAGTCTATTTAATGTGTGTGCCCGTCAACTCACCCGTGTCTGCCGGGGTTTTCATCTTGGTTGCCGTCGTCGGTGTGCTGCTTCAGTCACTTTCCCTGTCGAGTGGTAACTTTAGACGTTAGTTAGCTAGCCTTTAGCCAAGTTAGCAGTGACACCCCACTCCTTCCTCCGGTGTTGTTCTCACAAGAGGCTCGTTAGAAAGAACCTGCCCCGATTACAAGCTCGGCTCTGAAGTTAGGTAAAAAAAAATCTCCGCTAACTTCGCATGAGGTTCTGCTTTTTATCTCAACTCATCGACGTTTACTCAAAAAACTTTTGTGGCAGAGTATTTGTTTTTCAGCACGGGGGCTTCTGATGCGAAAAGTTGCCCCGAGTCTCAGGGGGGAGAAATCCAGTCGCCCTGGTCTGAATGGCGCAGGTCGAAGTTTGGAGGAGTCGTGCCGCCGTTGGTCGGTGCTGGAGCAACGGAATGCGACGAGTCTAAATTTTCATCCCGTTTGTTGCAACGATGTCGCATGGTCGATTCCTCCTCCACACTACCATCATCATCATCATCCTCACCGACAGTCAAACAGCGGCGCTTCTGAAAGGAACAAAAGTACCAAAGCCAACTCTCTTCTTCTTTCTCTGCCCCTTTTCTTTCTCCGGCTCAGACTTTTTCTTTTTCCACTCACTCACTTCGTGTTCTCTCAACCCCCCCTTCCTCTGTCGGGGTGTCGTGTTTCGCTCTCCTCCTGCCACACGGGGCCGCCCACGCTGACCTACGGAGGGAGGGAGGGAGGGAGGGAGGAACTGAACGCCCACTTGTTGCCAAAGATCGTCTATGTTTTCGGGAGATTACTTTTCATTCCACTCCAGCAGTGAGCTAGAAGGGCATTTTAGGACTTGTGGCCACTAAAACTAAATCAGGGAGTGTACAAAGGTGCACTGTTTAAAAAAAAATAAAAAATCAACAAAAATGAGGTTAAAAACATTAAAGCTGCAATGCCTCTGCCAGTCCTGATGACTTATCTTGAACAGGATCTCTGAGTCGAAATCTGGTGGTGAGATCTTAGTAATTACCTGTTACAAATTCCTAACATATATAGCAAATTTGGGTCCATGTTGAAAGTTCGGGAAACAGTGTCTTTTAGGGGTGCAAGCAGCTCATTTTAGGTCAGCGGCGCCCACAGTTAGGGTTAGTTTTTTTTCCCTGTAAAATCTATTCAGAAACATTGGAGTGAAGTAGACCCATATCAGAATCAATTTAAAATCAGTGATTTTTGTTTTGTTTGTAGGCCTTCATCTTATTTTCCTGGTAGTATATATATATATATACTTATACACTTAGATGCTAATTAATTTACAAGCCATGCCACACTGGGTGACATTTCCAGTAACAAAGCATTCAAGCTACCACATGAAAAAAACAATGCCACTATGAGGCTACTTTTCTTTAATTAGCCTCATAGTGGCATGCACAAGCTAAACATGCAACAAATTATTATTCATTATCGATAAATCTGCAGATTATTTTTTGATAAATTAAGATAATTGTTTGTTTTCTTAAATGAGACATTTCATCAAGTCTACATTTTATTTTATTTTGTTTTATTTTTATTCGAGTGGCTCATCTTCTAAGTAGACGATCTTCGACGAGGACTCGTCGCTTGCTGCTGCCCGGAGCTGCCACCGCTGCCTCCAGTTTGTCGCCCCGCTCGCTCCCGTTTGGCGCGTCACGGCGTTGCTGTGGAGACCCGTTACCGCCGCGGGTGATGAGAGGCGCCGTGTTTACCTGTAAACTGCGACAGCGAGGCAGCCAGGGAGCCGCCATCCGTCATTTATACACGGAGACGGAAAGGAAAGGCCAATCAACAGGTGTTTAGTCCCGCAGGAATAGATGGAGATGGAAGCCGGGTGAGACACTGAAATTTACATAGACTATAATTATAAGAGGACATCGCCTGTAGCCTATCAGGCGCTTATTAGCATTATGGGATCAGCACACACACACACACACACACACACACACACACTCACACACACACACACACTCACACACACACACACACTCACACACACACACACACTCACACACACACACACACTCTTTCTCCCACACTCCTTTCTTCCTCTCTAATGAAGGGCCCTTCAGCACTTACATCAGCTCTGAGGAGGCAGCAGAGAGAGAGGGAGTTGAAAGAAAGGAGCAGTAATTACTCAAGAGCGTGAACTGGAGAGCAGGGAGCAGACTGAGCTCAAGAGCGGATGGACGGAAATGAAGTGGAGAGAATAAGTGTGCGGATTGTGGGTAGTGGTCCTTTTCTTTCTCCTTCTTTCATCCCAATCATCATCCCACTGATTTCTCCATCCAGCCGTCCATCCATCCATCACTCTGCTCTGCTCATTTACTTTGAGTGGCAGGCAGCGTGTGGGAAGTGAAGGCCAGTCAGTGGGTGAAGCATTTCATGCGACTGTCACACTGTCACACACGCACACGCACACACACACACACACACACACACACACACACACACTCAACAATACCGCAGAAAACATGTCATCACTGAAAACTGCTTCACCTCCAGCCTCTCTGCTGTCACACTTCTCTCCTCCTCTTCTGTCAAAGTAGCTAAAGTAACTAAGTACATTTACTGAAACACTAGACAACTTGAGGTACTTGTACTTTAATAGGAAGTGACCCCTGATCACCATTTGATTTACATGAAATTTTTATGGTGGTCCACACTAGATATACAGGAACATAATACATGTTGGCTGTGTCAACCCATACAGAAATGTAACATACGACATATGTCACCTATAAGATGATATATATTATCACATATATACATCCTGGATAGATGAAGATATAAGTTTATAACTTATATGAAATATCCATAGTAAAATTTGTATATATTAAAATATATATGATTAATTTCTATATGGTATAACATGTTGCAACCATATACTGTATGTTAACGATATATATTTAATTTATATGTGAAGGTTTATTAAAACGATATACATATAAAGATTTTATATGTTTATATATGTTTTCTTATTCATTTCTCATTAATTTTTCATTCCGTGAAGCTTGTCTCAGACATTTGGACCATACTGTTTATGATACGAACATATACTGACAGGCTTTGGGATGGATATAAATTTATATAACATATGTCTCCAATATAAGCATACATACATAAACATTCATATATACGTCAATATATGAAATTGTTCCAATTTCTATTAGGTTTCATATATAATTTTTACATTTATGTTTTTATTTTATATGAACATATATTTCATATATTGACATTGAATATAAGTACATATATTACATTTGTGTATGGGAAGTGGCCTCAGCCCAGCACCCCTGAGCTCAACGCTGCTTCCAGCTTTAATATTATATTAATTTCCCCTTTAAACCTCTCATCTTGTTTAATTTAAATCACTGAATCTTTCGCAAAAAATAGAAAAAGGTAAAAAAAAAAAATCATCATCTTACAACCCCTCAGGTTTATCTTGCAGTCCTTGGAACCAATAAACTAAACATACCTAACTGTACATAAAGTAGTTAAAACCAGCTCCAACTACAGCAGTGAAACAGTATTTCTACACTAGTTTCCTGGTACTTTTACCTGCTTATATTACACTCCTACTCCTCTTCCACTCCTCTGCTCTGCCCTTCATCCTCCTCACTACTGTAACTTCATCTCCCACTATCTGTTCGCCTACACCCCACCTCCTTCATGCCTCCTCCTCTCCTCTAAGAGCTCTCCACTTCCTCTCCTTCTTAAAGTTTTTTCTCACTCTTCGCCCACCCACTGTCCTCCTGTCTTTACCTGAGGTCTTGTCCTCCTTCTCCTCTTCATTACACCTTCACCAAAACACTCTACAGTCATGTGTGAGGGGCTGCATCTAACAGTTGTTTTCATGACTGATTCATCTGCTTAGATTAAAAGGTATTTCTACAGTTTGGGAAATATTAATATTCATATTACATCCTGTGCTTGTGGTGGTACAGATTATATTTCGAACTTTGGACACAGCCAGGCTAGTCATTTTCACTTGTTTCCAGTCTTTGTGCTAAGCTAAGCTAAGCTAACCAGCTGCTGGCTCTATCTTAATTTTGAACAAACAGATACAGTACGTGAGTGGCATCAATCTTCTCATCTCAGTCTTGGCAAGAAAGCTTGTAAATGTGTTTCCCAAAATGTCAAACTGTTCCTTTAATTGTTTGAATATAAGAGCATAATAATATAAATATAAATGATCATATAAAAGTCCAGAAAAATGCAACTTTTCACATTTGAGAATTAGAATTTTTGGCATTTTTGATTAAAAAAAAGAAAAGAAAATCAACTTTGACATTTTGTCATATGACAGCAGGAAAAGTTCAGGTGTAAATATTAATGTTAATAATGGCTGCCCAATTTAGCTCCTTCAGTTTCAGAGTCCTCATGTTGTCTCACTGTCACACTGGGATACGTGATCAAAATAGAGCCACTGTTAATGTCAGTAACACCTGAGCTTTTCCTACTACGACGAGTCAAAGTCTCTGCAGTGAAAAACCTCTGTTGACAAATTGTTTCAGCTCCAGCATGCGTTCATTTGCGAGGTTGTTGTATTTTCTGTCTCTGCTGTGCTACTGACCTCTAGCTCCACCTGAGGACAGGTCAGGACGAACACCTTGAGGAAGTGAGGTGAGAATGGCCCTGCTGTGTCTGGCCCGCTCAGCACTACGACCTGTGGAAATTAGATAGAAGAAAAATACATTTAAACTCTCAGTTTGGACAGAGAATCTTACATCCACACGAACATCTCAAACATTTCAATGTCTGACGCACACTGGGTGGAACAATTAAACATTCACAGAGATTTGATTTACACGAAATCAACCAGCTTACTGGAAATTGTTTTAGTGAATTATAATATAATGCAAATTCAGTCTTCAGATACATGTACCCGTAGGTGGGGAGATACCGCTGTAAAGAAAGAAACGTATGAATCAAAATACATCTTTCCACCAAAGCTGCTTTTACAGAATTGCACTTCTTAATCAAATGAAAGCGTTCTTGTGTTCTCTAATGTGCTGTGACCACTGAGAACCAGAACCAGATTTATACTTTATGCACTTTTGTCTCTTAAAAATTACATTTGACCACCGTGTTGAGTCTGGCTCTTCACACAATGTATTTAATGGAATAAAGTGCTCAATCATAAGAGGCCTTCACTTAAGCTGATACAGCTAATGCTAACACAGTTCAAAATGTCACACCACTATCTTTGGACAGTTCTTTCATAATTGCATTTATTTTTATTTATATAAGAAAATCTGTTATTTTGTATAAACTTGGATCTTTCTAATTAACAACACATGTAAATAGCTCAATATAGTTTTTATCAGGTGCCAATAGCCAAAGTTTTTTTTTTATAAATGGAGATTATGTTAGTTCATCAATTAAAAACTGGTGTGATTCTCTGTAAAATTACTAAACTTGAGAGAGTCATTTACATTCATATAGGCAATATGGATTATTATAATTATTTTACCCCCTTTAAACAGCTTCAAACTGATCATTATAATGC